TACTGTAGTCAGTGACACAGGTTTAGATCGGGATTTGTTCACTTCTGCGCGGATTTGTGGTGCTGTTAGGCGTCTATTGCGCTTGCTGGTAACGACGATAAAAATATCCTCGCTAGAAGTGGTAGCTTTCGGCCTTCCCGATCGCGAACGATCTCGATAACTGCCAGTCTCCTTGTATCGGGCTATTGTGTTATGAACACAAGTCTTTGACAAATTAAGTTGAGAGGCAATCGCACGTTCAGATTTGCCTTCATTGTGTAAAACAACTATGGCACAACGAGTTTCACTGCTAATTTCGCGCACTTTACCCATTTTAATGTTTTTACTTTAACAATGACGAGCTCAGACTAATCAAGATTTAACTTTATAAAAACTCAGGTAAAAAATATGTTTTAGTAAGCTAAAATAATCCTGAATTTCTTTTAAGCTGAAACAAAACCAAAATTATTAGTAACTAGCGGCCCGTCCCGGCTTCGCACGGGGGGACTTAAGATTTTTTACATAGTTTTACGTTTTATTTATATTTATTCTCAGTTTTTTTTAGCGACCTGCCCTCCGTTGTCGATGTCGCGTCTTAAGGTAACCGATTGAACAATTCAAAAGTTATCTAGAGCAAACTTTTATAAGGATTGAACCATTCATTGAAACGATTGTTATGGGTAAACTATAAAAGGTAGACATATGCTCTCGCGGACTTTTTTAAAAATAATGTTAAGATAAACAATTCATCTATAGAACATTTTTGTATAACTTTAACTATATGCTCAGCGCACGCCACGGAAGGCCTCAAAAACGATACTTTTCCCCCGTTTTTAAAACATTTTTGGTTACTGCTCCACAACTATAGGACCTAGCGTGATATTATATAGCCTATGTTACTTCTGAATAATGCAGCTTTCGAATGGTGAAAAAATTATTGCAATCGGTTCAGTAGTTTTTGAGTTTATTCATTACAAACATACAAAAATACAAAAATACAAATATTTCCTCTTTATAATATTAGTATAGATGAGCAGCTCATAAAAATATTGCAATGACTCTACCACCTGGTCTGTGCGCGGCACTCATTAATGTTTTTTAAAAATAGTCTTTTACAGCATCGTAACTTAAAAATACACAAAAAGAATGACTCTTTGATTTTCTTTAATAACAATAGAATATGCAAGTATTCAAATTAGCTCTTTATCATATGCACTTTTGAAATATTTTGTCGGTAAAGAAGATTTTTACAAGTGGTCTCAAACTTTTGGCCGGCAGTGTATATGTACCAATATTTGAATATGAATCAAAGAGATTGTAAAACATATTTTTTTAAATGAGTTACGAATGGAATTTCTTGCTCGTTCTTCTCCACTCGAATCTACTTTTTGGAACAAGCACCTAGCTTCGAAACTAGAGCTAACGAATTAAAGGCTGTTGTGGAAGCTGATGATACACTATGGCTAAATTAGCAGCACCTTTCGACGTTAGTGTCAAAACAATAGTGGTCCATTTGCGTCTTATTGACTAGGCAAAAAATCTTGACAAATGGTTGCCCCACGAACTCAATGATCGCCAGCGCGAAGTACGCATCGAGACGTGCCTTGCACTGCTCACCAGACACACAAATGAAGGAATTTTGAACCGCATTGTTACCTGAGATAAAATATGGATTCTGTTTGATGACGGCAAGCGCTCGGCAAGTTGGTAGGCACCATTGTAAACAATACCCTAAACGAAAACTTACCTCTCGAAAAGTGGTCACTGTTAGGTGGTCTAAAGCCAGTGTGATTCATCACAGCTTCTTCCCAAACGTGGTGAGCATTATTGAGCATTATTGGAGATGTGTATTGTGAAGAACTCAAAACAATGATGGAGAAGCTGGCACATCTGCAACCAGCATTGGTCAATCGCTCCGTTGCTCCTGCACGACAACGCGCGACCGCATACTGTTCAGCAGACGGTCTCCAAGTTGCAACAATTGGGATTGGAAGTTCTCTGTCATCCGCCCTACTCACCAGACCTTGCGCCTACAGATTTCTGCATTAGGAAGTACATTTTCCAGAATTTGCATAAGTTTGTGGCGAAAAATAAATACCCGAGAGGCAGTACAAAATGCCTTTAAAGAATTTGTGTCCCGTCCAACAGATTTTTTTAAGAAAACTATACCCATATTTTGTGTACTTATATTTACACTTAATTATACTTGTATGTCCTTTTCCGGATCTCGACGATTGTTGTAGTCAAAGTCAAAGATCTTTATTGTGAGACAGTGGTTACAAAGGTTGGTCTAAAGGTTGTTGTGTTCTGGCACTGCTCCACCATGTTAGGCATACAATAGTTTGTGACAAAGCATATAAATTGCAGTAGCTATACATTATAATATTAAATACTGATTGAATAAAGAAACTTGTATTAATTTCATTTTGCATCAAAACATAAAATGGCGTTTCAACTGTTAACGAATCTGTCAGACAAAAATTCATGCAATGTATAATATGGTCTATTTACCAGGAAGTCAAACATTTTTTTCTTAAAATAGTCTACCCTGTCAATTTCCCTCATTTGTCTAGGAAGCTTATTATAAATTCTTGAAGACATTCCGAAGAAACTTTTAGAAAGCAGAGCTGTTTTGAGGGTAAATTCGTTATTTTGGCGGCATGTCGGTGGGAATGAAGGTTACCAAACCTTTCCCTATTGGTTTTTACGAATATAGCTATTTCGTAGATGTATAGGGAAGGAAAGGTTACAATTTTTAATTTTTTTAAATATAGCATGCAGCTACCTGGAGCCCGTATGCCACAGACAGCTCTGAGACACTTCTTTTGTGCCCTAAAAGCGAGTTCCCTGTCTGTAGCATTCCCCCAATAAATCAATCCATATCTAAGCGTAGATGTTACATACGCATGATATGCTGATAAAACTGCTGCTTGATTTACTATCCTGGAAAGTCTATATAGAGCGTAGGAAAATTTATTTAGTTTTTTGCACACCATATCGATTTGTGTTTTCCATGACATATTTTTGTCGATCCATAGTCCTAAGAATTTGATGGTCTCAGTGTTTTAAATTTTAGTCATTTTATAATTTATATTTAATGTCAAGGGGGTTTTTTTTGAGAATAACTAACTATTTTTGTTTTTTCTAAGTTAATTACCAGATTATTACATGTCAGCCAATTCACAATGTCACTTAAAGTATCATTAATGTCATTTTCAAATGTATGAATGTCAGTTGGAGAAAATACAGCATTGCTATCATCAGCAAAAAGGACCAAAGGAATCCTCACAGCTCTTGGTAAATCATTTATATAAATAAGGAAAAGCAAAGGACCTAAGACACCGAATTTAATAAAATAGGCTCAGTGGTTTATGATACCGAGATTCCCGGGTTTTGTTTAATAGAAAAGCTGGTAATCGAGCATACGGATCACCTGACCGTAAGCAATCGGCGCCGCCCATGGACACCCGAAACACCAGGGGCGTCACAAGTGCATTACCGACCTTTTGGAAATTAGGAATTGAAGGATTGTTGGAATTGGGGAGGGAGGTTATTGAGTCTCTGATTTTAACGCATAATTCTTGTTCCCGCGGGATTTCCGGGATAAAAACTATTCTCACTGTCTTATTTCGACTTCCATATTAATATCTGTACTGAATTTCAGTAAAATCGGTTCAGTAATTTGATAAATAGTGGTTCAATATAATATTTGGATCTGCACCACACTAGATGAAACACAACACCCTCCATACCGCCAGACACAGTAATGGATGGAGAAAGATCATTCGTAAATCGTAAGTAGGTGATGTTAAAGGGTGGTCGCGACCCTCAGCTTCACGAAATCCTAAACGCAGTCAATGCCTAAGTCCAGCCAGAGGTCTTCTCCAGCCTTCGTCGAATTCACTTAACACAATATCCATTACTACAATATACCTTTTTTTAATTCCGACTACGACACTAATATCGGTCACTCTCTAACTCCAGCAAAATTATTCGAAACGCCTATATCCGTCGTGCTGAATTCCAGCCACTGTATCTTGAGTCTTATTCCTAAGCATTATGAGGATGAAGGGATTCAATTTTGTGTGCTCTAACACAGTGTTAGGCTCTCTAACCTCTTCCATTCTACTCTGTTTCCGTCTGTTCTTGTCCTGACAATCCCTGCAGTCTGTACTAGAGTGCTCGGTTATTTGCCCCCGAGTATACATTGATTTTTTTTAACATTGCCCCACACTAAGATTTCCTCCTGTGTCGTGGGTACGTTTAGAAACATACAAGTTCATATACACATAATAACCAGACCCGGAACAACAATCTGTGGATCACACGAAGACTTGTTCCGTGCGGGAATCGAACCCGCGACACGTTGCGCGGCAGCCAGTTGCCCAGCCACCACGCCAACCGTGAAGTCATCGTGCAGAATGGACCTAAAAGTCGGTTAATATTCTGAAAACCGCATCAAAATCGGTCTAGACTCTACTAGACAATCGCGGAAAAATATACATACGTACAGGTCAAACTAAGAACCTTTTTTAAGTCGTTTAAAAGGGTTTGTTGGTTGCAGGGGGTGGAGCGTGTCAGCGGGTCGGGCGGCGGCGGGGCGAGCGCGCTCAATGGGGGCACGCCGCCCGCCGCCGGCGTGCCGCCCGAGCGACACGACGAGCCGCCACGCAAGCGAGCCAAGCTGCCCGTCGACGACGTCGCCGTGCTGCGCCGCCGCGTCCTGGATTGCGAGCTGCAGCGTCTGAGGAACCTTCGCGACAGGTGAGCCGGAAGTCCCGCCGCAAGTCTTGCGGTCCTCGTAGTTTCGTCGGCGCTCCCGATATCACGACCCTCTGTTCTAGGTTCACGGAACAACTGAGCGAGCTGTACTTCCTGCAGGCGGGCGGCAACATGATGGACTACGCCGTGTGGCGCAAGCGGCCGCCGGCGCCGCAACTGTCGGCCTTCATAGATGCGCGCCGGCCGCCGCCCCCAGCCGCCGCCGCGCCCCCATCGCCGCCCGCCGCCAGCGCGGCGCCCGCAGCGCCCGCGGCGGCCGCGGCGCCCGTGGCGGCGGCGGCGCGGCGCCTGACGAGATGGTAGAGAAGGCCAAACAGGAGGCGTACGTGGCGTCCCGCGTGGCGGAGCTGGCGCGCGCGGGGCTGTGGGCGGAGCGCCGCCTGCCGCGGGTGTTGGAGCCGCCGCGCGCCAAGTCGCACTGGGACTACTTGCTTGAGGAGATGGCATGGCTCGCGCAAGACTTCGCGCACGAGCGCAAATGGAAGAAACAAGCGGCTAAGAAGGTGACGATGATGTGAATCTACTTTCATTACAGAACAGAACATACAAAACTAAGTAATTAGACATATAAATAACATAAACCCTTAACACCCATTATTTGTCAGTTAAGCCATAGCCATGTCATAGGGATAGTTGGTTTGATTATATAATGTCTAGATGGAGTGTCACTTCACGAAAAGCGGCACAAAAATTTGAATTCGGCACAATTGAAAATTTATTATATTTTGTACCCAACGTCTAAGACCTAAATTAACTAGACATTATTTTTCCTTGGTTTGTGGTATTTTTTCCTCGTTCTCGGCAACTGTCCAAGTCATGGTCGAAAATGAAACATCTCCTTTGTAAACTAAAAAAGCACACTGCAAAGATGACCACATGCTCCATAAAATTGTGCTAAAATGATAATTCACGGTTAAAAAGTACAAAATAAATCACTTATCCATCGCTAAGTAATTAAAAACTACATTATTCCATTTATGATTTTGACCTAACTAATTGCCGCCATATTTTATCGGTGTTGTCAAGTTATTTTTCAATATTCCCTTCTCACGAGTCTCATAAAGAGGGAAACATTGTCAAAAGATCTCAAATCCTTAAAAATAAAATAATAATTTTAAGACCTAACACCTACCTTTACCGTACCAGCAGCAGAATATTACAATTTTGCGTGAATAATTGTCATCTTTTTTGGTTCTGTTTGTTACTAGACTAATGAAAGGGATTAAGGACACAGATAAGGAATTATATTTACGAGAACTATACGCATCACATATAATATTTTCGAAGATTATATGTGCATTATCATAATATGATGTGATTTTATTAAAACAAACCAGTATAAATTACTGACTGTTAAATCTACGGAAAGATTATACAAAACAAGACCGTGATAAACTTTCACACATTGTAATACTTATTTATTAGTTGGTGATGGTTTCATCAGGAACAATTATTTAATTTGGGATATACTATGTTCAGGTAGAGCCTCTACCTCTATCGCATGTTAATTATTTTTATCGATTCAGGGTTTCTGCTCCATACATTTTTGGGCATTGTCCTTTAAAGAAAAGAAAGAAAACTAATATAGCAACTATGATTACAGTGTGCCCGAGCAGTACAAAAGTACTTTCAAGATAAAGCTCTGGCAGCGCAAAAGGCTGAAAAAGCTCAAGAATTACAGTTAAAGAAAATTGCCGCCTTTGCAGCAAAGGAAATACGAACATTTTGGTCCAACGTTGAAAAGGTATGTATGTACAGTAATGTAAAGAGCCCACCGCCTCAGTACGCCGCGCCATTCTATCACGTCTACTCTGCCGCAGTCTATTGTTTGCATGCTTTCAATTTATAATCGTCACAGAAAAGAGGTTAAGACTAGCTGTTGCCTGCGACTTTGTTCGCGTAGAATAATGACTTCTGGCCGAATTTGGGTTTATTGAATTAGCCTTTTCCAAGGAAGAATCGGTTTTGTACCTAAGTGATATTTATTGTGAATTAAATTTATTCCCACATGGGCTTAACACATACAATGCCCGTTTACATGAGGTTTTAGCGATAAAAACTATCCTTTGTCTTTTCTCGGGTTTCAACCGTCGTTGTACCGAATTTCTATCAAAGAGGTTCAGCGATTTAACCCTTTAATTACCGTCATTATATACACAATTAAAGAACAATAGGTTGCGGTCACCGGTGTCCATGCGGAGTTGACAGTTTAAGTAATTCAAATAAATTCATCATTACATGTGGCGATTTTAATGTTAATTTGTTAGAAAATTCTAGTATAAGCACTAAAATTGTAAGTTTATTTGCCTCTTTTAACCTCACGAACTTATTTCTGGAGCCCACTAGGATAACTCCCACTAGTGCCACTTGCCTGGATAATATTTATACTGACATTGTACCAGTTAAGAAACAAATTATATCATTGCTTGATTCAGATCACTGCGGACAGTTAATTTCAATAACAAATCATGTAAATACAATATCTAAACCATTTGTCACTGTTAACCCAAAGACTGAAAGACGCATTGAAACCTTCAAAACTAAAGTCACTCAAAAATTACCTTTGTTGATGAATAAAAATCCTAATAATTTGTATGATGAATTTTTTAATATGTACCATACCGAGTTTGAATCTACCTTTACACCTAAAACTATACCAGTTAATGGCAATGTGTCTTTTAATGAATGGGCAACCACTGGCATCTATAAAAGTAGGAAACGCCTCTATGAGCTTTATAATGAGAGGACATTTATTAACACAATTGAATTTAATATATATGTTAGGAAATATTCTAAATTGTTTAAAAAGGTCTGCGCTATTGCAAAGTCGCGTTACTTGAGCTCCAAAATAAAGAACAGTACCAATGTCATCAGAGCGACCTGGAGTATTATTAACAGTGAGACGGGAAGGTCTAAAAAGAGAAGTAATGAATATAGTCTTCTAATTGATAATAATGTAATAAAATCAGACGCAGAAGTTGCAGCTGCATTTGAAAGTTTCTTTTCGGACATTCCTATATCCACGACTAAGTCATTGAATTCCTCTCCCACTGTTGCAGAATCTTTACTAAAAGAAAATGTTACAGCTTGCAGCATAGGGTTCTCTTTTGAACACATAGATTATATAGATATTGTCAAAACCTTCCATACCTTAAATAAGAAAAAGACTGCAGATTTGTGGGGTAATTCTGTGTACATCGCCGGCTCTGTTATAGCTATTATAGCACCTTTATTAGCTCTAATTTTTAATAACTGTATCGACCGCGGTGTGTTTCCTGATCTTATGAAAAATAGTAAAATAACTCCGTTATTTAAATCAGGTAGTACTTCTGACCCCACTAACTTTAGACCTATTTCAGTACTGCCTACATTTAGTAAAATTTTTGAAAAAATTATTCTAAATCAAATGCAAAGATTTTTTAATAGAAATAAATTGTTACATGGTAGCCAGTTTGGTTTTACCAGGGGTCGTTCAACAACTGATGCCGGTGTTGAACTCCTTAATCACATATATGACGCGTGGGAGGACTCAAGCGACGCTTTGGGCATTTTTTGTGACTTATCCAAGGCGTTCGATTGTGTCCTTCATGATACATTGATCAGGAAGCTATCCCACTATGGAATAAGAGGTAAATCTCTGGATCTTCTTACCTCATACTTGAGTAACAGGATTCAGAGAGTCGAGATAAACGGAAAAGTCTCCGCCGGGTCTGTTGTCAGGATGGGGGTTCCGCAGGGGTCAATTCTCGGCCCTTTTTTGTTTCTTATATATATAAATGACTTGCCTTACCTTGTAAAGGATAACCACGGGATAGTACTGTTTGCGGATGATACTTCGTTATTATTCAAACTTAAACGTAGACAATTAGTCATTGATAATGTAAACAGCGCTCTCTCGGAGATAGTACATTGGTTTAGTGCCAACAATCTACTACTAAATGAAACTAAAACTAAATGCATTAAATTTACAACGCCAAATGTTAGACATGTAAAGACCAGCGTGTTAATTAAGGGTGATGAGTTGGGCCCTGTAGATTCTGCTGTCTTTTTAGGTATAACCCTAGACGCTAAGCTCCAGTGGGCTCCACATATAGATAAGTTATCGAAAAGGCTCAGTTTTGCAGCATATGCCGTTAAAAAAATTAGAAATTTAACCGATGTAGATACAGCGCGATTAGTATACTTTAGTTATTTTCATAGTGTTATGTCATACGGTATTCTCCTATGGGGGAATGCTGCTGACATTCAATCTATCTTTGTTTTGCAGAAGAGGGCCATTCGATCAATTTATAATCTTAGTCCGAGATACTCTCTCAGGGAACTATTTAAAGAAATTAATGTAATGACTGTTGCCTCTCAATACATTTATGAAAATGTAGTATATGCTCATAAAAACAAAAGTTTATTTAAAAAGCATAGTGATATACATAATATCAACACGAGAAATAAAGACAAATATGTTGTTCCCACTACTAGACTAAAGAAAATAAGTGGTTCGTTTAGATGTCAGAGTATACGCTTTTACAATAAAATTCCCAGCCATATCCAAAATTTGAGTCTAAATAAATTTAAAAATGTCATTAAAGATAAACTTTTTAGTAAAGCTTTTTATAAAATAAAAGACTACCTAGATGATAGTCTGGCTTGGGAATAAGCTGCTGTAACGTCCACACAGGTAATGTTGACATGTTTGTAACATATAGTTACATTTCTTTTTATATGCAATTTGACATTATTAGCATAATGTGATATTGTTTTTCATTTGAAAAATTTATATTTTTTTTTAAACTTGACATTTACCTCTATTTTTTACAATTGTTAGTGCTAGGACCGTGCGAGACTTTGCCTCGCTATTTCTTTTCTTATTTCTTACTCATACTCTGACAGTTTGAGTATTTGTGCGACCCACGCAAATGTTCTTTAGGTTGGTATTGTTCGTCGAATCACTCAGCCTCATCTGTTACTGACTGTAAACCGACACATGCGTACTGCTTTCAGAACGGGTCCGCTCAAACTGTTGTGGTTCTTTCCTCAAAAGGCCACTACAGAAAGAACTTGCACGGTTCTCACACGTAATCTTTTTATACATATTTGTCTGGACTTTAAAAGAGACAGACCTCTGAGTTTGTTTCGGCATTTCTTCTCAGAGTAGTCAGTTAGGAAATGTCGACCTCATCGTTCGCTTGATAAAATTGACGTGTAAAAGTGCTGCCTTGTAGCCTATTTGCAGAAATAAATTCACTTGTTTTACTTGTTTCACTAAGAAATAGATTTAACGCATAATTCCCATAGCGTAAATACGTGTGTGCGCGGGCAGTATTACTGCACTCACACACGATTTATGTAACGCGCACACTATGGGTAATACTGCGCGCACTCACTGAAATGAAATGAAACAGTTTACTCATACTTCTGTCTCCTGTCTGCAGTTGGTGGAGTGGAAGCGAGTGCGGCGCGTGGAGCGCGCGCGCAAGGCCGCGCTCGACGAGCAGCTCAGCTACCTCGTCGACCGCACCGAGCGATACTCGCGCCAGCTCGCCGCCAACCTCACGCCCGGCGCGCCCCCGCCGCACGCGCCCGACGACGACGACTTCACGCCGCGCGACTGCTCCGACGACGACGAGGAGACCATCGCCGCGGCCGAGGCCGGCGTCCAGCCCGCCGACCACCGCGACGAGCTCGAAGCGCTCCGCCGCGACTCGCGCCAGCCCCTGGGCGACCTGTTACCTCCCGGCTACATGCCTGCCAATTCGCCGCCGCCCTCGGACTACGGACCCGACGCCGACGATTCGGCCGACGACGAGCGCACAATCGCGGAGCAAGAGCGCCTCGAACCGGCCGAGGACGCCGCCGACGAGTTGGCGGCCCTGCATCGAGACGCCGATCTGGCCATCGACGAATTACGACGCCGATACGCCCCGCGCGACGACCGCCCCGACGGCGACGGTTCGGAGACCGACCGAGACGACGGCGTCGAAGACGACGACGACGCTGAGAACGAAGACGACGAAGAACAGGAGGACGACGACGCTAGCGACGACGACTCCGAAGCCAGCGAGTCCACCGCGGCGTCGGAAGGCATGGAAGCCCTCATAGACGAGCCGGGCGCGGACGGCGGCCAGGCGGCGGGCGGCGAGCGGCGCGTGGAGGCGGCGGCCGTGCTGGCGGCGTCGCTGCAGCCCACGGGCACGACGCTGTCGGAGACGGCCGTGGCCACGCGCGTGCCGCGCCTCCTGCGCCACGTGCTGCGCGAGTACCAGCACGTGGGGCTGCACTGGCTGGCCACCATGTACGCGCGCGGCCTCAACGGCATCCTGGCCGACGAGATGGGGCTGGGCAAGACGGTGCAGACCATCGCCTTGCTGGCGCATCTGGCGCTGGAGCGCGGGGACTGGGGCCCGCACCTGGTGGTGGCGCCCACGTCCGTGGTGCTCAACTGGGAGATGGAGTTCAAGAAGTGGTGTCCCGCTTTTAAGATCCTCACTTATTACGGCACTATCAAGGAGCGTAAAATGAAACGTGTCGGGTGGACTAAAGCTAACTCGTTCCATGTGTGCATAACCTCGTATAAACTCGTAGTGCAGGATCATCAAAGTTTTCGAAGAAAAAGGTGGAAATATCTTATTCTCGATGAGGCACAGAACATTAAAAACTTCAAATCTCAAAGGTGGCAGATGCTATTAAACTTTCAAACCGAAAGGTGAGTTATTGAATAAAAAGGCATATTAAATTAATATTTATAGACCACATTCATTTGTTTCTCACAGTCCTTTAATCTGCTAATGTACAAGTCACTCACTTGTTATTTTGTCGAACGAACAGATAGTCTCACGTGTTACAATCATATAGTTATTTTAGACAGGGACACAGAATAAATAGCACAAGTACAGAAGCGTGCAGTGAAGCTAATTCACGGGGTTCTGTTTATCCGTTCGTTCGACAAGAGTGTAGTGGTGACGCGTCCTGTCCAGACGTCTGCTCCTGACGGGCACGCCGCTGCAGAACTCGCTGCTGGAGCTGTGGTCGCTGATGCACTTCCTGATGCCGGACGTGTTCGCGTCGCACTCCGAGTTCCGCGAGTGGTTCGGCAGCGTCGGCGGCATCGCGGCCGGCAGCGCGCGCTACGACGAGGCGCTGGTGCGGCGCCTGCACGAGGTGCTGCGGCCCTTCCTGCTGCGCCGGCTCAAGGCGGACGTGGAGCGCCAGATGCCGCGCAAGTACGAGCACGTGCTGCTCTGCCGCCTCGCCAAGCGACAGCGCTTCCTCTACGACGACTTCATGTCGCGCGCCAAGTCAGTACCGACCACCTTATCTATACATCTAATAAAATACAATGTACCCAGTGGTTTGTGTAAATACAGTAATGGCAAAGGAAAACTTCAATAATGTATGGTGCAAAAACTCAGAATTGATTCAATTAATTTATGTGTGGCAAAGTAGAATATACAATATACATACTATGATCCCAAATTCAATTTGATTTCGATTTAATCATCCCCAAGAAATACACAAAAAATATTTTTTATGTTACCGATCAAGCTTTTTTCTTTAATGTCCATCATGAAGGTAGTTGTGGAAAAAAAATATTATAATCTTTGATTATATAATGTCTAGATAGTGGGTAACCATACAATAGTAACAAAAACGACGTTTAAGCTAAAGGTCATGGACAGCTGCAAGCAATTTATCATCACTACATAGTATAAAACAAAGTTGCTATTCGCCGTCTGTCTGTCATATGGACAGTCAGACATTTTAGAAAGCGCAATGTTTATTAAGAGCAATCTAACCCTGTTTCCACGTCTAAGTGATACGGTTGTTCGTAATAGACGTGATAATAGTAAAATTAGATTAATTTATTTAAAAACTAGCTTAATGAATAACAATATACAAGGTGTCGTTTTAAAAACGTGACATCGTCTTGAGTAAGTCCTAATCAATAAAAATATTGATTCGGACTCAGAATTGTAGGTAAATATTTTTCATTTTTTGTAAATTACAGAAATCCGTAAGTGCGAACTACGCCGGATTACACGCCGCCGTCTTATAACTAGCTTTCTTACGCGGCTCAACACGCAAACTCAAACCCAACCATAAACAAAACCATAAAATTCCAATAAGAAACGCGAACCCTCCGTCGGCTCCACCCCCTAACACTCTCACCCCAACGGCGCATACGCACATGCATTCAGTTTGTGCTTTGGCACTGCCGGGGGTAGTCGTTTGCGAAATTATTTCGCGTGACCATAAACTACGTGTCACTAATTACACTTTTTGTGTTATCTGTTAATAATGTTTAGTAATTTGATCATTTTAACGTATTTTAATGCTTTACAAAGAATTAACTATTTCATTTACTAAATTTTTAACAAATTAATTTAAAACTCGCAAGTTTAGGACGTTTTAACTGTCATTTATAATTTTAGTACATTTTTATGGAGCATGTGGTCATCTTTGCAGTGTACTTTTGGTTTACTAATTTATTTTGTAGCGTGCATGCACTTAGTGACGCCTAGGTGACACGATTGGTACTACTTGACGGGGAATTGCATTGCAGTGAACAGTTCACTGCAAATTTTTGTCACGCTTTTCATGAACTGATACTACATTTAGACATTATATAATCAAAATTTATAATATTGTATGATCATCAAGATAAGAGAGTGTACCAAAAATCAGATCGATCTGTCGTCAGAAAGGAGATGACATTCTAATTTTTCCTCTCCTGTGTATGATGTTTATATTGTTTTTATTAGCATTTGTTATTATAACGGTAATGGAAATACATCATCATGTCCGTATTCCAACTGTAGCTATCAAGGTGCATGACAGCCTGGTGACAGACAGATGGACCGCAGAGACATAGTAATATGGTTCCTATTTTTACCCTTTGGGTATGGAATAATAAAAAAGTTAGTATGAGCATAGTGAAATTTTGCCCAACAGTAAGCAGACAGGTTAATGAAATTTGTGAGTCCTTGGTTTTATTTTTTATTTAGGTATAATGATTGATTGTTGTATTCCCTCAGGACTAAGGAGAGTCTGGCATCTGGGCATCTGCTCAGTGTTATCAACGTGCTCATGCAGTTACGAAAAGTGTGCAACCACCCCGACCTGTTCGAGCCGCGCCCCGTCTCCTCCCCGCTGCAGCTGCCCGGCCTGCGCCTGCTGGCGCCCGCGCTCGTGCTCGCCACCGGCCTCGCGCAGCGCGCCAGCCTCGCCGCGCGCCTCGGCGGGGACCTCGCCTCGCTCGAGGCCGACGGCGCCGGCGCCTTCGCCGCACACCGCGCTCGACACTTGGCGCCGCCGCGCCGCCTCGTCGAGGAGCTGGGCGCCGGCCCGCCGCGAGCCGCGCCGCGCCCTCCGCCGGCCGGCTTGCGACTGCACCTACGACTGGTGCCACGCGCCGCGCCTCCCGACGCGGCTGCGCCCGTCCCGCCGCCCGCTCTACCGCTGCGGGCTCGCGCAGCACCACCGCCGCCCGCTGCGCCGCCCCCGGCCGCGGCGGGCGGTGCGCGCGCGGCGGAGGCTCGCAGACGCGCGTGCCTGCGACGGCTGGCGGCTCACAACGAGCGTCGTTGCTGGCGCCTGCCGCTGTACGGCAGCGACCTGCGCGCCGCCGTGCACGCGGGCGGGCCGGCGCTGGCGGCGCGCGACCTGGGCGCGGTGCTGGCGGAGCTGCAGCCGCAGTTGGAGCGGTTCTGCTGCTGTGCGTGGCGGCGGCGCGCGCGGCGGCGCCGCAGCTGGTGCTGGGCGCGGGCGCGGCGGCGCGAGACTGGCGGCGCGGCGCGGCGCGGCTGGCGGGCGCGGGCGCGGCGGCGCGGCGCGCGCTGTGGGTGTTCCACGCGGCCGCGTCGCGGCAGGCGGTGGCGTTCCCGCACCCGTCGCTGCTGCAGTACGACTGCGGTGAGTCCCGCGCGCCGGCTCGCGTCTAGCGCTAGTTTTTGCTGAGGACGTGTACTGTAATAAAAGAAAGCTTCAGTAGACTTCAGGAAACTAAGTTTTGCTTAATACGGATATCCCTGAATTCGATGTCGTAATGGCATCAGGTGACCAGCATAGTTACAACCACAGAACATATAAAGGAGGATAGAATGGCCTTGTGGGCGGTACACGCGTGCCGCGGTTATGACCAAATACTCCAAATCTACCGAAATGTCAAAAACCGGCCATCAAACGCAATGTTGTTGTGACAGCGTACGAAACTCCGCAAATAATATTAAATTATGCCGTCTTGGACTATTGTAATGTGTCGGAAAAGAAGACAGGTGTGCAATGTAGCACGAGAAGGGATTTCTTTCCACCAGTGACTCCAAAAACATTAATATACTTGTGATATTTGTAATTATAATATTAATATTATGACGTTTCTAGACAAAAACGACATTATCGCAAGCAGTATACATTGCTTGCAATAGATACGTACCATTTTGCACTACATAAACGATCGCGCAATATATTACGTTCACAATGAGAGTCCCGAGTATCAAATCAAAACGTCATTTCCTCGAATCGGTATAGAGAAGTGTCAATTTGTAAACAATGTCGATAATTACTATGATACAAAGGATTATTATCAAATTATACACATTATAACTAAAATAATTTTATTTAAAACGACTAATTATGAAATAGGTTTTAAGTGAGGCATTTTATTCGTATTTTAGTTTTATATAATTTTTTATGTGTTCGTTATGTTTTCTTCAGTAAGTAGACTGATTTTATGATTTAGGAAATTTTATTTTACATTTCTACCTTGATATCATCTAAACGACATCTAAATCATTTTTCGTAAGATGGATACTCTTTCATACATGCTTAGGCCTAAATTGTAAATAGTTGAAACTATGAGAAATTCTTAAAAGCCAGCCGAAATCTTAGTCAATAATTTAAAATATTTGTTCAGGTTTTCTATTCGAGAACAAAGCTATGACAACAAATAAAATGACATTATATCCTGGGAGCGATTGTATTGTACCTTTTTTAAGAATAGCTATGTACACCTGATGACTTTTCTAGTTTTCAGAGCTTTTAGAGCCGACTTAATTTACGTGAGCTAAAATATTGTGTTGGCCTAGAGGTTGCGGCGCTGTTTCATACAACTTATACGTACTTTCTAAGTTAATTTGCACACCACTCACATTCAGTAAAGGAAATTATGTAACCGAAACTATATAATAATTCCTATTTATATTAACTATTAAAGAAATACGAACGACGATTATCGGTCGTCATCATACGAATGTCATGATGATATCTAACAGAGACAATAACAGAGTTTTGAGCACACATTAGATATATCATGATATGGTTACGTTATGATAATTCGCATTATTTCATTATTTTATGATTTTTCATTCTTTAGGAGAAATTACGCATTTTTTTATATATTTTGAATTAAGCAAAAATCTATTATTTTTGACCCCATGACTTCCCGGACTCCTTTTATTTTTATAAAACTTACAGTTGAAAACAAAACAAAATCGAAATAATACCTTTTCGGTTTTTTATACTTTTTTGATTACTACCAATCAACAATTTACTTATAATTATATTCCATGTCAAATTATTTTAATGTTAAAAGGGTAATTGATTTTAAAAATCAGTTATGTATTTTTCTATGTATAGTTATTTACATTAACGTAAATACATGTACACAATATGCCTTATACAAATCCGCATAGTCCGCAATACATGTAAATTAAGAAGCTAGATGCCATTAATTTTATCGATATCAATAATCGACCTTTCGCTCCCCCTACCATATATGAGTTTTTTACGCCTGTATTAGTGTATGTCAAACGAAGTGATTGCGTCAGTGTGACGACCAATAACAAATCTTTTAACCTAGTGCGTGTTGTTTATTTGTGTGCATTTTCCGCGTAGGTATTGGTCTCTTGCTTGTAGTAAAGTTAAAGAGTGGGGGAAAAACGGCGACGCGTGTTCTAATACAAATCAGGAACTATTTCCTTTCTAGCCTTCTTTATATGTTCTGTGGTTACAACAGTTATAAAACTGTATTGTAACTTTCGTGAGACATACTAACTAAATTATTATGTTTTCGGCTTACTCATGTAATAATTTCATTTCAGGAACAGCTTGTTGCACAGACATATAAAAACATAAAAATTCTTTCGCAGGGAAATTGCAAACGTTGGATGGACTACTCCGGCGACTGAAAACGGGCGGACATCGTGTGCTCATCTTCACACAAATGACGCGAGTCCTGGACGTATTGGAAGCATTCTTGTCCATGCACGGTCATACCTATCTTCGATTAGACGGAGCCACGCGCGTAGACCGGCGTCAACCCCTCGTAGACCGTTTCAATGCAGATCCTCGTGTATTCGCATTTATTTTATCCACACGTAGCGGCGGCGTAGGTCTTAACCTGACCGGAGCAGATTCAGTAATATTCTACGATTCGGACTGGAACCCCACCATGGACGCTCAGGCGCAAGACCGCTGCCATCGCATCGGACAGACGCGCGACGTCCACGTCTACCGCCTCGTCACCGCCGCCACCGTCGAGGAGAACATCCTGCGCAAGGCCGAGCAGAAGCGGGCGCTCGGCCACCTCGCCATCGAAGACGGACATTTCACCACCTCCTACCTGCGCGGGGTCGGTCATATATAATATTGACACGTTTCCTCCTATTTTTTTCTATCAAAAATGGCATAATGTATTTATTTTTCATATGCAGGCAAACATCAAGGAATTATTCAATTCGGAGAGTGAAAACGTGACGACCGAAACTAATACCGAGGAAGCCGAAGCTAGCGTCGGCGGCGAGCTGGAATCTGCGCTGGCGGCCGCTGAGGACGAGGCCGACGCGGCCGCCGCCAGCGCCGCGCGCGCCGAGGCGCAGGGCGACCTGGCGGAGTTCGACGAGACACTGCCGCTCGACGACGAGCCGCGCGCCGCGCCCGCCGCCGACCCCGACGACCTCGCCGCGCTCATGAACCAGGTGCTACGACACTCATGTTAATGACGTCTCTATTTTTTTGTTTTCTGGGTACCTGGGCGGTAAGTACTTCTTTTGAAATCCAGCAATCAGTTACGCCCATGGACACCCATAACCTCAGAGGAATTAGTTACGAATGGGTTGTCGTCATTTAAAGGAATTAAGGTTACGTATAGTATGGCAGATGGGCATAGTAACCTCATGAGTACCAAAGATAAGCGCTGTTTCACGCCGGTTTTTTGTAAGGCCACCACAGTTAAAACACTCGCTCATCGCTACCGTCCTCCGCAGCTTACGCCCATAGAGAAGTACGCCATGCGCCTCGTGGAGAGCAGCGAGGCCGCCAGCGAGGCAGAACGCAGCGCGCTCGGCGAGATGCGGCGCCAGCTGCACGAGTGGGAGAACGCGCGGCGCCAGCTGCGCAGCGAGCCGCCGCCGCCCAGCGCCGCGCCGCCGCCCGACCTCACCTACAGCCGCGCCGACGCGCGCGCCAAGGTGCGTGCCCGCCGCCGCCGCGCCGCGCCGCCGCCCTCGCCGCCGCCGTCGCCGCCCGCCCCGGCCGCGCCCGCCGCCGCGCCCGCCGCCGCCCCCGCGCCCGCGCCCCCGCCGGCCCGCACGCGCTCGCGCGGCACGGTGCACATCAACCTGTGGACGCTGGACGAGCGCGGGGGCGCGGCGGGGGCGGCGGGGGCGCGGCGGGCGCGGCGGGGGCGCGGCGCCGGCCGCTGCGTAACGGCACGCTGGACGCTTGGCTCGCCAACGCGCCCTCCCGCTCTCACAAAGATAACGATAATAAATGATTTTGAGATACTATATGTGCGTTTTATATTTCTGACGTTCGACGTTTCGGTGCCGCTCGATATTCGTCCGTAAATGCTTGATCTGTCCCCGAGTCGGCGATGTTTGCTCGTGATCGGCGAAACTGCGGCACCGATCCTAACGTCAGGGATATATGGCGTACAAGCATTTACGGGCGAATCGAGTCGACCGTGACCTGACGCTTAATATTTCCCGTAATTATGCGTCAGGAAGGAGCCATCAATATCCCCTAACATTATTTAGAATCAGGATATTTTTTTAGTATTTTCAATTTATGAATAACTGAAAGTTATAGGAAATAACCCTGCAAGGCTTAATGAAAATACATTCGAGTATGGCATAAGATAAGATGAGATACTTGATAGGTAAATAATCTTATTATTACAATTATATTGTTTCATAATTAATATTCATTTATTACATCCCGAATACTGAAAGGCTACGTAATTTGAAGTTGTATTTAAATATCGTGCCATCTTTGTCATTTTGCAAAGAATGTTATAGTGACAGAACTATACGCGTGACTTCAAATGAGTAGCGTCGGAGTATTTGGACATATGTCCTACAGTAACTTATTATGAACATTCCAAGCAAGAATGAAAATGGCGACTTGGTAATATAGTAGTTCTTTATGAATGATGGGAATTCATTACTACGTTACTCGTCAGAGCATCTATAAGCATCTAATTTATCTTGAATGTAAGGAGAATGCTCAAAAAATCCCAGAATCGATTAAAATCTTTCATGGACAATATAAGGGACCAAAAGTAAGAGGATACAAAATACGCTATTCGTTTTGGGTAAAACCACATCTGAAACTGACCGGGCCAGGAGCCTGCAGTATATTACAATTTGGTAGAGGCACAAATATTCACGCAATGTTTTTTTTTATTTTGTGTTTGTTCCTAGTGTATGGCTCAGAGGTAATTAGAGTTCGGTGCTCCGTCAGTTGAGATGCCGAAAAAAGGCGTGTCTGAGTGACCTCTGTATATGTTGGCTAGGGCATTCATCAGCATTTCTTGAATTCTATGTAAATCATCCATAATTACAGTATAAGTCATAGCAGCAGAATGGATATCACTTATAGTAAATAGCATTTGCGCTCTGTTTTCTATTTTTGTAATATCTTTGTTAGTCTGATTCATGATTTCCCAGCAGGACATGTAG